AGCCCACCATTTTTTGCTGCCAAGGACTGAGTGAGGCACAGACGGGATAAAGGCAATGATCAGAGGCCTTATACTCCTAGGCCAAAGAGGATGTCAGCAGTGACAGCAATCCAAAAAACTGACACACCATGATTGTGAACATACAGTTTTATTTATAGCACTTCAACAGCTCTTCAAAACAAAGGCACATTGCTGTATTAGCGTCTGTAATTGGTTTGTCAATGGGCTGGCTAGGATCCACTCTCTGTTTCGTCTGAGTTCTCTCCATTGTCATTACTAGTTGGATCTAGTCATGGTAGGAAATTTAATAAACTGACACTGCATTATTTTTCAGATTTGTGTCCATTAATTGACTTGCCCAGAAGAAGGGTGTGCAGAAAGGAATACTGTGGGTTATGATGATGTGTATGTGTTGAATGTGTTTGTCAAATACTTAATACGGCCAATGGGCTAATCAATAAAACGTAGTTATTCATTAGGGGGGTAATAGATAATGGGCTGAAAATGGATTTCATATCTCTGCTCTGGTCAATAAAATGAATGTGAGTCAGGAAAACAGAAGGGTGTTCAGGATGTTCGTAATTTCAATGGAGACCCCAAAGAGCGGGTCCGATTTGGCACTAGCGGTGAGGAGACATTCCAAGGAATAAAATAGGCCATATCAGGAAAAACAGGGGGGGGGGGGACCAGCAGCACTTTCGTAAGACCACTATAAGGTCTGCGTGGTTTCTGAGGGCAATATGGAGGGATTATGCTAATGAATGTGTGGTCATCCCGAGATCTGAGGTGTGTATGGTGCTTGTGCAACATTCCAGGGAGTTCAATGAAAGGTGGCTTGAAACTAAGAATAAGATCAACTTGGGCTCACTAAATTAATACCTATAGAGCTGGGGACTATGGAGTACATCCTTTTGGAGTCTGGTTTTRGATATCTTGTCTTTGAATATGTTTACCATCCTTATTAAAATCACAGTCTAGTGATCTATTTAGCAGGAGAAGCGACTTCAGTGTGTTCTCTGCCATTTGTTCAGAAGGCAGTCAATTGATCTGAAATCAAAGGAAACTACCCGAGGTTGAGTCATCACAATGTTTCATCTAGTGAAGTACACTCTATAGGTTGGCAAAAGTGTCACCCTTAGATCTGTGTTTTGGGAWTCCAATGCCTCCTTCACAGTAGCATATTTACTTTAAAATATACCACAAAAAAACCAATAACAGTGGGATGTTCTTCTACTAGATTYAATGATATGGTACTATCATTAGATGGCACACCATAGTTCCTACAGTTCCCTCCTACAGTGGAGGAGAAAAGTGTTTGTTGATCTGCCATTTTCTCCATCTGCTTCTTGCAGGTGCTTCTCCCACCTACTTTTCCATCTCCACTCTTATCTATATTGAAATCTGTTTGCCTGTGTGTACATGTATTACAATGACCTGTGGAATTTAATAAGGTTTTCTTAGTTGAGAGTTTTCTAGCCTTTTTACCACCTAAATGCACTTTGTTTCTTCTTCCTCTTTATCCTATCAGATTTAACAAAGATCTTGTAACCCTCACCCCTCCCAAGTTCTCTCACACCTAAAGAATGCAACCTCCATAACAGGGATTTTGTTAAAGGCATGTGTATGCCCACCCTGGATTTACTGAAATGCATGCCAGACGTTCTTGTACTGTCTGTCTTCCCTACTTGCAACTCTATTTTAATAAGCGCACATATTTGGCATTGAAGGGGTTGGAATTCCGTATGGAAATGCATGGGGTTCAGAGAAAGATCCCTATAGTGACAGCAGGGAGACAGGATTTCAACCAAGGCATCCTTTTTCAGTTGAATCTATCTGGCAGTGGATCAATGAACAATCTTGCAGTGAAAGGAAGCTTCTTTAAATTGCATCACAATAATGTTCCATGAAACCCAGCATAATTCGTGATATGGAGGTCACACATCAGAATCCTTTCCCCAGAATATTTTTATGGGGTATAAACTCCCCACTTTCTCCAAGGTCAATTTTATGTATTTTACAGTTTCTATGAACATATTTCAATATGTTAAAGGGGTTTTTATGGAAATACAATAATTCAAAGAGGAGGAGGAGTAACAGGAAGATAGCATAATTAGTTCAATGAAGAAAACAGATTATATATATATAAAAGAAATAACTGATTTCGTTTTAATGATGGATGTGATTTCAAATGGCAACAAAAACAATAGAATTGGTATAGAAGTGCCTTAGATTCTGCCATGATGAAATTCGCATTAAAAAGGAAATAAAAAATAATGAAATAACAGGCGCACACACACATCAATACCCATAGTGTTGGAAATAATCCTCTGTCCCACCCAAGTTTCCCATTTCTGATAAATTGTAAATATTATCCAGGGTGCTTTATGTACCAAATTGCATGAGACCCAAGGTCAATTGTGAGAAATGTCAGATTTCAATCTGCTGTCGCCCATACTCCCCTTTTGAGAATACCAAGTCTGTATAGTGCTGTGACCGTAAAGTAGAATTGCTGAAAGTAGAAATTCAAACCCATCTGTAAAAAGTGCACCCCAGGAACACAGTAGGCTTGTGCATAGATTTGTTATGGATGTTTGCCTTTGGCTTGTTCAGTTGGTTCAGAAGTCCGTAATAACAGTGGCTGTCTAAAACTGGCATCTTTCAGTTACATGTGGAGTTCATGGTGGGATGCAACCACTACAAAGAGAAGCACAAGGTGGGGGGGGGGCACTATACCAATGCCTCTAAATCAGTGGTTCTCAACCTGTGGGTCCCCAGATGTTTTGGCCTTCAACTCCCAGAAATCCTAACAACTAGTAAACTGGCTGGGATTTCTGGGAGTTGTAGGCCAAAACACCTGGGGACCCACAGGTTGAGAACCACTGCTCTAAATCAAGAGAGGATATAGGGCTTTTTAAAGGAATCATAGATTAGGATACCTCCAGGTTGATCCATCTTCCTTCCCTGGATACTGGGATTCCTTCCTAAAATGCTTTGGAGAGCTGTGTGCTGCAAGGAGGGAGTGCATGCCTGCAGCTCCTATGTCCTCTAGAGAAGAAACAGTTTTAATGAACCATTAAACTGGATCTCCTCTACAGACAGAAGGGGAAGATTCCCAAAAAGAGTGGTATCATAACATTGATGCTTTTAATCCACGTCTTAATGAGGGATATAAGGACAAACATGACACCTAAAATGATAGGAAGGGGAACCTGTGGGAAGTCTGTCTCCCACATTGTCAACAATGGGCTGGATAGAAAACGGATGCTACCCCTCTATTATGCCTTGGTTAAATCACACCTGGAATACTGTGTCCAATTCTGGACACTGCACCAGAGGATGGATATAACTTAAAATGACCGAGGGTCTGGAGAACAAGCCCTATGAGGAGCAGCTTAAAGAGCTGGGCATATTTAGCCTGAAGAAGAGAAGGCTGAGAGAAGACATGATGAGGGCAATGTATAAATGAGGAGAAGTTATAGGGAGGAGGGAGCAAGCTTGTTTTCTGCTGCCCTGGAGACTAGGATGAGGAATAATGGCTTCAAGCTACAGGAACACAGACCAATGGCCTGAAATTACAGGAAAGGAGATTCCACCTGAACATTAGGAAAAACTTCCTAACTTTGAGAGCTATTCAGCAGTGAAATTCTCTGCCCTCCGGTCAGGTAGAGGTTCCTTCTTTGGATGCTTTTAAGCAGAGATTGGATGGCCATCTGTCAGGGATGCTTTAAATGCAATTTTCCTGCTTCTTGGCAGGGGGTTGGACTGGATGGCCCACAAAATACCTTCCATGATTCTAAGAATCTTTTGGCTTCCCAGGCTGAAAATAGATTTCTGTCCTCCCAAATTCAGGAGGCTCGCAAAAAATGGACAGGGACCCCCACTGAAATCTGGGACACCAAAACGGATCGCAGTTTATCTGGATTTTTCAAGCCTAGTTCTCAGATCTGCCATAGTTGAACAACCTGAGTCTTTACCACGGGCAGGCAATGAATACTTATGAACAACGAGAAGGAATTTGAGTACGATATTACAAAATCCCTGTATACTTTGTAATAGTCAACCATGAACAGGAAAAAAATTTCTGCTTTACCTTCTATCTATCTATGTATCTATCTATCTGGTTTCTCTTTTTCCATTATACTTTCTGATGAAGAGGAAAGAAGCCCACAGCAAGAAAATAATCCATCCATTATTTAGGCCTGCAATGTTTTCAGTTGTGATCTTGTTAATGGCATACCATGGTCCAACCTGTGATTATATACCTGTATCTAGATGTCTCTCTCTGTGACATCAGTTCTACTGGTTAGCCTTTTCCTGCAATGATGTTGGCTGGGTTAGAAGTGCAAATGGGAGAGGTAGGTTGAAGAGGAAGGGGAGGAAAGTGTGGACATTCAGAAATGACAAACTGAAACTGGCATAGTTGGGCAGTCAGAATTCCTTTCTACCTTGACAGCAGTCTGGGCAGGAAGATGCCTGTGTAAAACATCGCTGGACCAATCCAGTATATGCAACACATTGACCCTGAGAAGAGCTCCCGGTGGTGAAGTGGGTTAAACCCTTGTGCCATCAGGACTGAAGACTGACAGGTTGCAGGTTAAAATCCGGGGAGAGCTGGGATGAGCTCCCTCTGTCAGCTGCAGCTCCCAATGCGGGGACATGAGAGAAGCCTTACCAAAGATGGTAAAACATCAAAACATCCGGGCGCCCCTGTGCAACGTCCTTGCAGACGGCCAATTCTCTCACACCAGAAGCGACTTAGTTTTTCAAGTCGCTCCCAATATGGAAAAAAAAAAACCTTCATGCAGCCTTGACCCATGTAACCAAAATCCTGGCCCAGAATTTTTAGTATTCCCCCAAATTTGGGGCCATGTCAATTGTTGAACCAACCGCTAACCCATGTCTCCCCAGCTTCAGTGGCCTAAGGACATAATATAGTACTCAATCTCCTCTCCTGTAGTCCATATCTTAGTGGTCTCTAGACATGATATATGTCCTACTTCTTACTTGTCACCTGCCGTGATGTTGACTTTAGGAAAGAAAAGGTAGGAATGTTGAGGATAGCTGTCTGGAGGCTCCAAATGTAGCACCACCGAGCAGTTGGTGATCTCTCCCAGAAGCCAGAGGGGTGGGTTACACATCCACCCTAGGGGCAATCCAGGAGCCCTGGGATAGAAAGTCAGAGTAAATCTGCCCAATATTTTAGGCAAAGAAATGTTGGAATTATTGTGCAGAATTTAGGAAGCCTGGATATCAGCAAATGTGATAATCTGTGTGTTCACATTTTGATATCAAAGTGCTTTGATCAAGCCTAGCTTGGAAACATAGTTTTCTCTCCATTTCATCCTCACTACAAAAGATCTATGTTCCCACTTAAAATGGAGCTTCTGGCATCCGAGAACTGACATTCTCCCCCTCCAGATTTTGGGAACTTCCTGAAAAACAGAACAGAAGCCCAGGCAAAAATGGGACTGAAAACTGGACAGTTTCCCCCCAAATTGTACACCACTACCATTTTCTGTGACTCTGTAATACTTATGAGCCAAAGGTACATATTTTGTTATTGTCTGCATTTTCATATATCCATGCAAAATCCATGAACATGACTGTTGTATGCCAGCCTGAACATGACTGTTGTATGCCAGCCTGTGTCTGATGTTCTTGTTAATGCTAATGTTCATCATGGGAATGGGGGATGATGTTCCTGATGGTGGCTTTGAGGACGAGAGTTTGCTTGGACCTAAGTTAAGCTCAGACAAGAGGCCTGAGATGTTTCAGGAAGAGGAGGATTCCCAAGGCTGCATTCTTGGGAGGAGCCCTTCACAGCCTTTCTCAGAACAACTGTCTGAAGATAATTTGTTAGGTTCAGAAAATAATCAGAACTCAGAGACAGCAGATAATGAGAGCTTAGACAGAAAGCAAAGTTTCTGTAAATAGAGATATAGGCTGCAAAGAATCAGATGGTCCGTTGGCTTACAACAAAAGAAAGATAACAAATTGTTATCTGGTAACGAGATCAAGAGAAACACTTTCCTTTCAGTTTTGGAACCTAGAAATGCCTTATTTTGATGCATGAAAAAGTGTTGTCTCATTCGGGTCAACGTTGAAAATTGATCATGGTCTTGTTTTCAAGTGTTCTTAGTTTGGTGTACGAAGTTCTTGCCATGCTCCAGTTTTGTTTCCGAGATTTTTTCCTGCTGTCTAGTTTCTTGGTTTCAAATGCCTAGTTCCATGGATTTTTATGTACGTTTGGATCTTGTTTTCCTTTGAGGTTTTGGACTATTTTCCTTGTACTGGACCTTTACAGTTTTTGCTATTTCTTCAAATTAACTGCTTGCTAATTTTATCAAGCTGGTATGGTGTTTAAGGTCAGAGGTGTTCCTGCTCTGGTGTACGACAATGACTAGATCAGAGCAAAGATGAACCTTCCCGTAACATCCCCAGGGGCAGATAAAGATTGAGTTTATGTGATTTTTGAGAAATGGTTTTCAGTTATTTCCCAGATGCACAACTGCTTTATTTCTTTTGCTCCAGGTAAAAGAATGACAGACTTATTGAGCGTGTTAGACAGTTTAATCAACACAGATAAGCATTAAGAGAAGAAATCATTGTTTCTAGTAAAATTTTCCTTTCAAATTCACATGTCTAGTCATCACCCATCACTTTTTCTATAGAATAGTACATTTGCTTATTGCAGCAACATAGGTTAAGTAACACATTTTGAAACTGACTACAAATGGAGGCCCCATCTATACTGCTATATAAAATCCAGATTATCTGCTTTGGACTGGATTATATGGCAGTGTAGACTCATAACCCAGTTCAAAGCAAATAATGTGGATTATCTGCTTTGTTAATCTGGATTATATGGCAGTATAGATCCAGCCTGTGTTATGCTTAAGATTTCACGGGGTAAACAAAAAAAAAGAATTCCAATCAAAAGGAATGCTTAACATAATGCAATTAAAATCAGATAAATATTGAAAGTTCAGACAATTTGCAAGGCAACAAGCTCTGCACTTGGAATGCCTTGAGAAATCCCATTCCTAGTTACTTCAAAACAAGATACTGGAACAATTTTTTCAAGATTTTTTTTTTTAAGATCCTAAAGCAGTGGTGGAAATGACGTATCCCTCCAGATCTTTCTGGACTGCAGCTCCCAGCAGCCAGTGTAGAAAGTGGCAAGGAATGTTCCTCTACACTCACTCTAAAGGGGGGAAGTGGATTTTTGGAAGAGCAGGTTTCAGAAAAGTTACTTTTTGGACCGCAGCTCCCAGAATCCCCAGCCAACATGGAAGATTTCTGGAAACCACAATCCGATTCCCTTTTCTGGGCTGTAGCAAAAAGAGAGGGATCAACACAACTCAGAACAGAATGTGAAAAGTGAAGAGGAGGAACATGTTAACAGTTATATGGTATAGGACGCACAAAATTTTGGATACAATATTTATTTATTTATTCTGTGTCAGGAGCCCCTTGAGAAACTGTAAGTCGCTTCTGGTGTGAGAGAATTAGCCATCTGCAAGAATTTTGCTCAGGGGACACCCAGATGTTTTGATGTTTTACCATACTTGTGGAAGGCTTCTCTCATGTCCCCACATGGGGAGCTGGAACTGATAGAGGGGGCTTATCCGCACTCTTCCTCTTTTGGGTTGGGACAATGGAAAATATACTATATTGTCAAAGAGATTAAGAGCTCCTCTTTAATTTTTTTATAAAGTGATGGATTGATGGTATTTAATTCCAGAGAAGCTGCCCAAAATGTATAAAAAGATTAATTATGTCTACTAGAAATTTGAAGAATAGAAGCAGCCTTTAATTATTAGGTGGTAGACAAATACGGCAAAAAGTCTTTGGCTCTGTTGGATTAAAACAATCTTTCAGGGAGATGATGCAATTAATACCAGAATTCTTTTTCTTGGGATGATTAGAAGAAGACTAAGGCTGGATCTACACTGCCATATAATCCAGATTATCAAATCATATAATCCAGATTATGTGAATCTACACTGCCATATACTCCAGTTCAAAGTAAATGATCTGGATTTTATATGGCAGTGTAGATGAGGCCTAAGAGAAGCAACAAAAAAGATAGTTACATACAAGACAAATTATCTACCCTCATAAGAGAAAAATCATAGTTTTAAGAAAGGTTAGGAACCATTAATTGTCTTCTTTCTGAAAAATAATTGGGGAGATATTTTTTGCAGATTTCAGAATTAGTAGTTCTGATGAACTAGTAGAAAGTGAAATGTTCTACGAGTATTAGGAAGGTAAGGCATTTATACCATTGATATTAAAATTGGAATTCAACTTGTAAATAGTTCTTTTTTCTACCTGTAATGTGTAATTTATGTATAAGTCTGTTTTAATATTTGTTTTAATAGTTTTTAGTGTACGTTAGCATTAGTTAACATTATGGTCGCAAATTACACATAGGGGTGTTCTTTCAGTTACTGCATGTGGAGTTTAGTTAATAAAATTTAAAAATTTGAAAATAACACGTGGGCTGCAATACAAACTCAATGTCAGAGAATGGAGCCAAACAAAGTAAGATTTCAGATTGCTTTGGTACAATTAGGTCTATAATTAAAAGTAGCTCTATCTGCAATATATGATCCACTCGACTGGTCACAAAGCTCTTTAGTAGCACAGCCTCTTTTGATGTAGGTCACAAAAATAATTCCTGGAGAAGAAAGCCAAGACAGGCAGTCAGAAAATAAAAAGGGAACCCTGGATTCATAATCATTCTTCACTCACATCAGAAGAGATTTATAAAATTATAACTCTCTGAAAAGTAATAGTATTGGTTCACATCTCACATTGTACAGAAACTGAAGAGAACCTCTATAAACTATGGTAGAAAAGAAATAAAGATTTTGAGGTACAGCAACATCAAGAGTGGGGAATGAATTAAACTTTCCACTAGAATCCAATGAGGGATGGACTTTTTGCCTTACTGTCAAAATTTGAAACAGTGTTTCTTCGAAATGCACTTGCTTTAGTGCACAATGATACCACCGAGATGGTGTACAATTCTGCTTTGACACAAAGGCGCCCTCTCACTTTGCCACCTTAAAGCTGTGGAAAAGTAGTAATAATGTTGGCAGTGGGCACTAGGGGCAGTAGGGTTGCAAAATGAGTGGAGTGAAGAAAACTATTGACCATCCAATAATGCATTACCAACTGGTGAATTGAGCCATAGTATCATACAGGCTATGACTCATACTAGAATGCCTTACTTAACAAATGCCTTCCTGAGCACCACTTATTTAAGAGAAAATGTGGCACCAGAGGGAGAAATAACAGAATGATAAGGAATAGGTCACTACACAATAACACAAAAGGCAATTCAAAATGTTCTTTGTTGAAAGCTTAAAAGACTTACATATGAAATAAAACAACCAAATCAAGCAGGCCTTGTGTAGGTAAAGAAAAATGACTTGCAGAGATCCAAAATGCACCCAGAGGTAGTCATGAGCCCGAAATTTGTCCTATTAGTTTCATTAGTGTTTCTGTTTTATTCCATCCATTTGGATGGCACAAAATGGAAAGGTCCCTCCTGAAACAAAAATGCAATTTATACGAAAGACAGGTGGGCCTGCTTTTCGGATGGATTGTGTGGGGACTGACTGCCGAGTAAGGAGAGCTCCTTAGTCAGTGCCCGGCTGCAGACCTGCGAGACCCAGGTGTGTAGGCCCAGGTGTTTGGGGCCTATGGGTGTAGGCTTCCAGCCTATGCACCTGGGCCTGGCAGGACTTGCAGCTGAGCGCTAAGTAAGGAGTGCTACTTGCTCGGTGTGCAGCTACAGGCCCTGCGAGACCTGGGTATGTAGGCCCAGAGCATGCACCTGTAGGCCCAGGCATTTGGGGCCTATGGGTGCAGGTTTCCAGTGTATGCACCTGGGCCTGGCAGGACCTGCAGCTGAGCGCTGAGTAAGGAGTGCTCCTTACTAGGAGCTCAGCTGCAGGCCCTGCCACGCCCAGCCACATAGGCCAGAAACCTGCACCCATAGGCCCCAAACGCCTAGGCCTACTGATGAAGTGCCCCCTCTCCAAAATAATGGAAATGAAAATGAAAAACAAATATCTGATCTCCCAATTTTGGGAGGGTCAGACAACAATGGATTGGGGGGCCCTGCTGAAAACCAGGACACAAAACAGATCAAGATAAATCCCGACTGCATTTTCTTTCACCCACCTTGACTTTTATTGGGATTTGATAAACTAGAAACAAAGGATCAAATCTATAGATCTATGCTTTAACACATGATGGTGAGGCAGGTTTATAGCTCTTCACGTTTTTTCCTGTTCTGCTTCTCAGTAAAGGATTCTGGAGACAGCTGCTGTTTATTCTGCCTGTTGTAAACAGGCATTATTTGTTAAGGCTGGATCAACAAGAGAAGACTTCAATGCTTTCCAACTGGGCTTTATTGCATTGTTCATGTCATACTTGGTGCTGCAACCTAACATGGACTTTCTTTCTCCATCTGTCCTTCACTACCCCTCAAATGCGATGTTCATAGCAGTCAAGGAAGAACATGGGCCTCAAAAAGACAATGTAAAAAGGAGCTTCTTTATCAGAGGCTTTGTTAACTGAGGCAGGCCTGCATGAAATGCACCAAATTCTTCATCATTTACTTCACAAAAAGCTTGAATTAAAGAAGTCCATTATGTGATACCAGCTCATATTCCTTGCAAATCTTAAAATTTGGTATTACCGTGTTCCCAAACTTCGTGAAATGTACTAATGCAGTGGAACTCATTTCCAGAACAATCTACTCTGGCGGATCCGCAGTGAGAAATGTCAGTGGCAAAGCAGGCTGGGCAGGACTTCCCGTTGGGTGTGATGAACCCTGGTTGGACTGAAAGACAATAAAAGGGGTTCATCATAAGTGCATGTAAAAAATGATATTTCTGATTTATCCTATCAAGCCTTGTGAATTATAACAGTGCATTGCACTTGAGAGCAAAATCTTCCCCACCATGTGCTCCTCTGAATATTGCAGCCGATCTCTGAAGAAAAGCAATCAAAATATCCTCTTAGATCTATCCAAAGATTTACCCAAAGAATGGCAGTTCAACCTCAGTGTTGCTTGTCATCAGAAAAAGAGAGCTCAAATTGCTTTGAAAGACATCCTCATGGGACTCCACCTAAAGCAATGGTTGGAACTGAACAGCCCTCCTTTTTTTGCTCAGCTGCTGATTCCAGTGTCCCTGCAAACTTGCCCAACCATTTCTGGAAGGGTGCTGTTCCAGACCTAAAGAAAAGTCAACCTCCAGAATACTTACATCGAGGAGCAGCAGTCTTGCAGGCCTCCCCTATACAACAGATGACATTTGACCGTTCATATATCCCTCGACCCATATTCAGATATTGCAAAGGAGTGTTACAAACATTTGTGTGCTCGCAGGTTTTTACTGCTCTCAGTTGAGGTTTTCCATCTGCAAATAAGCAATTCACTTACTCAAAATAGGGAAATATAAATTCTCGCTGATCCATGCCTTCCTTGAGTCAGCCAATTTCAACAAAAATCACATGCCATGTATCTCTTATATGTCTGGCTAACTCCCCCCCCCCCCTCAGCAGCAAATTATGCATGTTTCTTCATTCCACAAAGATCACCACCATGTGTAGTAGGTCATATCAGGAAACTACAGCTAGAGCCGTGTGACTCCATAATACCCCCTTCCTCTTCACTTGGTCCCCGCACAACCATGACAGCAAGTTTCAGGTGTTTCAAAGATGTGTGGAGCGGAGGAGGAATGTGGCATATGCAGGTGGAGAACACTTGCTTTGCAACATTGAACAAAAGAACATTCACAAACAATTATGTTTTACTAATCGTGTAGTCAACTGCACCAGCTGATTCTGTTGTGGTTCTGTTACCAGTATTTCCTGTATTACGATCTGAATGATTTCCCCTTTCTTTACTCTTACAGGGTCCTAAATATTTTATTGAAATATCAGGAAAGTAATTTATCTGAACAGAAGACTCACAATGTGTGTATTCAACTAATACTACAACACAGGTTTGAAGGTGATAGTCACAGAGGCGATTCGTTCCTGAACACGTTAGGCCATCCTTGTAACATTTTTCACATCTCAGAGGTTCACCTGAAAAGAAGAGAAGGAAACAAATCCATATCCACCTGTACAGATATGTGCAACTATTTTATTCTGCACCGTTTTTGCTGTATACAGAAACAGAGATCTTCCTCAATAGGGTTAGGTGTTGCCAATGCCATATCTACTGACTGTGTAAACCACAAGCTATAAATGGCAATCTTAAAAGTGAGTCAAATCTTTTCTATTAATGCACATAAACCTATTCTTGCATGGAAAACATATTTCCTGGGGGTGAAATAATCCGATAAAAATCAATACTTCTACCCAGACAGTTTGAGAGAAAATGTTCTCATTCCAAAGCCAAAATATTACTTCCAGTACTTTTGCAAGAATTATAATTTCTTGTTGAAACATCAAATTAAGAATAGTGCTGAAATCTTTGTGAGCAACTGGGGCAGGAAGAAAAAAATATCTTTTTTTCAAGCTGACAAAAGATACAAATTGCTTATTTTTACCACTCCTTAGGACTGCAAAGATGAGGAAGAATCCTGGAAAAGTCTTCATGATGATAGGAAACGTCTTAGAGGAATCGAGATCAGAAGGATCTGTGATGATATTGATATTAAACAGCAAATTGAACATGCACAAGTCAAATACGAGATTAAAAGTTTACAAGCAAGCACAATCCATTGGTTCTAGATTCCGTTGGTACCGGATTTCTTTCATACTTGGAGTCAACCTATTAAAATCATTAAGACTTGTATTTGATACTACTTTTTAAGCCCTTTGCATGTAATGTGGCCAAGTCTAAGTATGCAATCAAGTCTATAAATTCACATGTTTTTAGTAGGAGTGTGATTTTTACAACCCAATGGGTTATTCCAAAATGTAAACCGTGTCATCAGAGTTTTTTCTCCCATCTGAATTTGTTCAGCAGTCAGTCAACTGATCTGAAGTAAAGGAATCTGCCAGAGCTGGGTCATGACAATGCTCTTTCTACCTATGTATACTCTAATGCAGTGTTTCTCAACCTTCCAAATGCCACCACCTCTTAGTACACTTCTTCATGTTGTGGTGACCCCCAAACATAAAATTGTTTTTGTTGCCACATCATAACTGACATTTTGCTACTGTTCTGGACCAAATTTGTCACAAATACCTGATAAGCCCAAATGTTTGCTTTGGGGAGGGGGGGTTAATTTTGTCATTTAGGGGATATAGTTGTTGGTGTTGACATCAAGACCACCGCTGCTGCAGTCAGAGCAGAGCTAGAAATATATTCTATCGAAGGACTTGCTAAAATCAGGGCCTTTAACTACTGGTCTAAAATAAGAAACCTCGAAAACAATAGACTTCCAAAATTGTGCTTTTTAGAACAATCTAATGGCCAAAACCAAGCTTCCTGGTCAGAACAATTAACAAGATTCCTCCGCACCTGCGGATTACAAATTGCCTCCTTAGGCCAGAATAGGGATGCTGAAAAAAGGACAGTAACTCAAAGGATCCTAGATATTGAAGCCCAGAAAGATATAGCCACCCTGTCAAACACAGGATCCCTGAAGTGGTTAGGGCGTTTTAAACATCATTTCCAGAGGGCGCCATACCTAAAAGCTGACATGCCAAGACACCTAAGAACCACTTTTACCAGGGCAAGATTTGAACAAATTGAATCCATGGAGAGACACGGCAGATTCAATCATATCCCATACGAAGAAAGGCTATGTATCTGTGGTGCCCCTGAAGTTGAAAATCTGGACCACACTTTACATCAATGCAATCTATATGAAAAAGAAAGGAAACAATACTTATGGCCTTTTATTTGCAATAAAACAAGTTGGGATACAGCAGCCAAAACTTCATTTCTGTTGGCTGGTTATAATCCCATTCTGACAACACAAGTTGCCCTTTATCTGTTTAAAGCTGCTAAAAGGAGATCAGAGTACATAGATCAGATTGGGGTGCAGTGTAGGGGAGACGAGGATAGTTGATGCATATATCTATGGCTACCTGTATATTTGTATTTTATTTTAAGAGGACTAGATGTATGTTGTATGTTATGTCTGCATTGTTTGTTTTTGATAAGGCCAATTGGCTAATCAATAAAATTGTTGTTGTTGTTGGAATGTATAGTTCACCTACAATCAAAGAACATTCTGAACTCCACCAATGATGGAACTGAACAAAACTTGGCACAAACTCTCATGACCAACAGAAAATATTGGAAGGGTTTAATGGGCATTGACCTTGGGATTTGGAGTTGTAGTTCAACGACATTCAGAGAGCACTGTGGACAACGATAGATCTGGATCAAGCTTGGCAAAAATACTTTATATGTTCAAATGTGAACACTGGTGGAGTTTGGGTAAAATAGAACTTGACATTTGGGAGTGGTAGTTGCTAGGATGTATAGTTCACCCAGAGCGTTCTGAACCCCACCTACGATAGAATTGGCCAGACTTCCCACACAGAACCTGTATGGCCAACAGAAAATACTGTGTTTTCTGATGGTCTTAGGCGACAGCTCTAACACCATGATTAATGGGCATACCACAGTTCTCATTATGGTGAAGGGAAAGAGTGTTCTACCCTAACATTCACCTGCTTCCTGCAGATAATTCCCCTACCAACTTTGTCCTCTCCACTCTTAGGTGACAGCATGACAGCATGGGGATGGAGGATTCCATCCAAGACAAACCTTTTCAGCTGAATCTATCCAGCAGTCACTCAGTCTAGAAGTTGAAAGAAGCTGCCTTGAATTGAGCCACAACAATGATCTATGAAACCAAGACAAATTCATGACATTGGGCAGAACACAATGAAACTCCTCTACCTAGATTTTTTTAATTGGGCATGAACTCCCCTCCTTTGCCCACAACTCCCAAGTCCACTTTGCAACCCAGATCACATAATAAATTCTAAAGCACCACACACCTTACATCCTCATTTACTTACTTACTGTTTACATTTCTGGAAATGTTCATGCATTTACACAATAAAATGCTTTCAGAGTGAGGAAGAAGCAAAGAAACAGTCACCTCACCACTTGGGACTTCTTTGCTGGGAAGTTCCAGTCCTCTTTGGTGCAGATCTCTCAGCCCACTTATGACCAAGGACTAGAGAGTGCCAGGTGCTCTCCAGCTGCTCTCTTAAAGGTATTAGGGAAGTTCCAATGACCAATCACAGCTTATCTGAGAAATCACACACTTTGACGATTGCAATCAATTTGATGCATTTTATAGTATCTATGGAAATATTTCAAAGTGTTAAAGGGTTTTTTTTAATGGAAATAAAGCTAATGTGAGGAAGAGGAGGCCATAATTCCTTTAATTAAACTTTAATGAAGCAAATGGAACAAAAACAAGCCTATAAAGAAATTACAAATGATTAAACCTGGTGGAGCTGATTGTAAGCCAGGGGTCCTCAAACTTTTTAAACAGGGGGCCAGTTCACTGTCCCTCAGACTGTTGGAAGGCCGGACTATAGATTTTTTTTTTAAAAAAGCTATGATCAAATTCCTATGCACACTGCACATACCTTATTTTGCTACTGTTATGAATCATAATGTAAGTATCTGATATGCAGGATATATTTTCATTGTTACAAACTGAACATAAAGCATAGTGATTAATCACAAAAACAATATGTAATTATATATTGTGAAATATTTATTTCTAATTACAAATAAATGAAGTTTTGGCTTCAAGATTGTCGTAGCAAGAGTAACAGTCTTACTATAACAGCAGGGAACCCATTGATATGTTTACTGATCAGACTATCAGACGAACTCCCATAACCAACAGAAAATAATGGAGAGGTTTGGTTAAAATACACACAAACATGTGGAAGTTGCAGTAAATCCTGCAAAGAGCATTCTGAATTCCCCAGCAATGAAATTCAACCAAACTTGGCATACAGAACACCCATGACCAATAGATTCATCATAGTTTGTGGCAGCTACACAAGCAAAGTTTCTGGAGAACAACTACTTTCAAAGTAAGGGCCACACAATTATACCGGAAATAACACGTTCAAGCCAGGAACAGATTTTTGTTATCCAATTTGGTTTCAGAGTGTGATTCCAGGTGGGAAGCTCTGACCAAAACAGGAGATCAGAAGAGGAGGACTTTATTATTATTATTATCATTATTATTATGTTTATTATGTTTATTATTATGTTTATTATGTTTATTTATACACCACTTTTTGTCTCCACAAGGAGACTGTGGGCCCTTCCAGACAGGCCCTATATCCCAGGATCTGATCCCAAGTTTTCTTCTTTAAACTGGATTATATAAGTCTGCACTGCCAGATAACCTGGGATAAGAAAACCTCAGATTAGATCCTGGGATATAGGGTCTATCTGGAAGGCCCAAGCTGAAGGGAATGCTGTAGATGTAGCAATTGCAAACACAGGTTCGCAGTTTGGGTGTGATCTTGGATTCATCGCTGAGCCTGGATCCCCAGGTCTCGGCGGTGACCAGGGGAGCATTCGCACAGTTAAAACTCGTGCGCCAACTGCGCCCGATACCTTGGGAAGTCTGACTTGGCCACGGTAGTCCACGCTCTGGTTACATCCCGTTTAGACTACTGCAACGCTCTCTACGTGGGGTTGCCTTTGAAGACGGCCCGGAAGCTTCAATTGGTCCAACGTGCGGCAGCCACGATACTAACAGGAGCGGGACGCAGGGAGCATACAACCCCCCTGCTGTACCAGCTCCACTGGCTGCCGATTTGCTACCGGGCTCAATTCAAGGTGCTGGCGTTGGCCTATAAAGCCGTAAACGGTTCCAGCCCAAGATACCTATCCGACCGCATCTCGAGCCCACCAGCCCACCAGGACTTTGAGATCTTCCGGGGAGGCCCTGCTCTCGATCCCGTCTGCTTCACAAGCACGGCTGGTGGGGAAGAGAGATAGGGCCTTCTCGGTGGTGGCTCCTCAGCTGTGGAACACCCTAGACTGGCTCCTTCCCTGATGATATTCCGCAGGAAATTAAAGACTTGGTTGTTCAAGAAGGTGTTCGAACAAGAAGTGCAATGATTGGTAATGACTATAGGAATGGAACAACGGAAATGATACTGGATTGTGGTTTGGACAATGAGACGACGCTGAATGGTTTTCGTAGTAATGACGATGTTTTTTGTATAATGCTGGATTGTGAATTATTTTATACTGTGTCTTGAATTTTGTTGTTCCTATGTTGTACACCGCTGTGAGTCGCCCCCGGGCTGAGAACAGTGGTATATAAGTAAATAAATAAATAAATAAATAAAACCCAGAATATCAAGGCAGATAGTCCACAGTATCTGCTTTGAGCTGCATTATCAGAGTCCACACTGCCATATAAACCAGTTCAGTGTGGATTTTATACAGCTGTGTGGAAGGGGCCAAAGCACTTTCCATTTCAATACTATTTCAAATCTACAAATATATGAAACATTACAACAGAATTAAATATCATTGGTATTTTTTAAAGCAGGCATGGGTCAACTTGGGCCCTCCTTGTGTTTTGGAATTCAATTCCCATAATTCCTAACAGCCTACCTACCGGCTGTTTTCACAGCAG